GAAAAGGGATAATGGTGCACCCGATAACTATTGTTTTTATTGCATTTATTTCGTGACACAAAAACGCAGAGCATCTACAACAAGGCAAATTTAGTCTCCAGAAAATGATATTTTGGTTTGCGCACTTAAAAAACTCGTTCTGTTGCAGGCGCATTCGACATTCCGAAAATTAACTTGTATCGAATGGTTGAAGACTTTTGGAGATGAAAAAAGAAAAAGCGAACAAACTCCAACTACATGCACATACTTTCTCGCATTATTTCTAATTTTTGCAACTTTTGAAGATTGAGATTGGTCTACGAAAGGAGACCTGTGGCATTCTTTTAAAAGTCCCTTGTTCTATTCTAAAAAAAAAAGGTTTTTGAGATTTTTAAAAATAATTTACACTACAAGCAGACATTGTGCGAAGCATATTAGTTTTTTCAAAAATATTGTAGGCAGCCCATTTTAAAGATTGAATTTTTAAATGAGATTTTAAGACCAGAATCTCTATCTCCTAATTTGTAATTTTGCAACGTTACCACTCTGCAATTTAAAAAAAATTGAGAATGTGGCAAAAATGAGACTTTTCCACATTTGTACAGTTTTTCGATACATACGAGGAGAAAATTTAAAGAAACTCTGAGACAATTCGATATAATTTATTTAAAAAGTGCCTATTTTTCACGCAAAATTACGCCAAAGCATTGTACACTGTGCCTTAAAAAAGCACATTATCTCATATCAAGATTTGTCTTTAAACAACAGATTTTGTTTTAAAAATTCACAGTTTCAATATTGTAGTTGTAGGAAGACGTCAAATTAAAAAAAAAAAACTTCTTGCCATATTCACCGAAATTTGGACGGTATTCCAACGAAAATGAGACACACGCTATTGTTTTAGCGTCCTTTAAGCCGTAAACACATTAACTCAAGAATTTTGAGCCCTTATAGAGCAAAGGGTTCTCAAAAAGACTTACAAAAATAAAAGTATCCGTTTCAAGCTCGTAGGGCTTTCAGTTCTTTTAAATCGATCGAAGAATTTCCATTGTCCAAAAATTGGTTTTGGCGCTAGCGTTGCCAACATACAGACGGGCGGGCGGACGGACGGACGAACGGGCGGACGGAACGAACGGCGGGCGGGCGGCGGGCGAGCGGGGCGGGCGGGCGGGCGGCGGCGGGGCGGGCGGGCGGCGCGGCGGCGGCGGCGCGGGCGGGCGGGCGGGCGGGCGGCGGGGCGGACGGACGGACGGCGGGCGGGCGGACGGGCGGACGGACGGGCGGGCGGGCGGGGCGGGCGGGCGGGCGGGCGGGCGGGGCGGGCGGGCGGCGGGCGGGCGGGCGGGCGGCGGGCGGTCGGGCGGGCGGCGGGCGGGCGAGGCGGGCGGCGGGCGGGCGGGCGGCGGGCGGGGCGGGCGGGCGGGCGCGGCGGGCGGCGGAGCGGGCGGCTGCGGGCGGGCGGTGCGGGCGGGCGGCCGGGGGCGGGCCGGGCGGGCGGGCGGGCGGGCGGGCGGGCGGTGCGGAAGCGGAACGGGCGGACGGGGCGGACGGGCGGACGGGCGGACGGCGCGTGACGGGCGGACGGGCGGACGGTGCGGACGGCGGCGGGGCGGACGGGCGGACGGGCGGACTGGGGGGGACGGGCGGACGGAGCGGAGGGCGGACGGGCGGACGGGCGGAGGGCTGCGACGGGCGGACGGGCGGACGGGCGACGGGCCGACGGGCGGCGGGCGGGCGGACGGACGAACTGCAAAATGCCCACCTATATGTTTCATGAAATTGCGTAAATTCGACAACAAAACACACAAGTCACAACGAAAACACACGATTACAATCAATGGCCAACGAATCTTATACCCGGATCAGTTGACGGAAATGCAACGTTCCAAACATTTCCGATACCTCCAGGAATACTCATTTGTTCCCATAAGAGATGTCTATGAAATACAAGTCAACGTAAGTTACCGTTCATTTTCAGGAAATCCTTAAGCAATAGCTTAAGCATTTTGTTATTCCATGAGGATCGACTATGAATTCGGCCCTTAAAGCTAAAATTGAGGTATTATGTACTTTATTAAATCCAGGACGTTTCACTTCGACGATTTACGAATTGAAGTTAATAAATTGTAAAACACCAAAGCTCGACGTCCATTATTATTATTTCCCCTTTACATTCGATAAACATTACTAACAAATAACTTATACGAGACCAAACGATAATACTTAATACATTTAAAAACTGTAATTAAAAATGGAGACAGGATGATAATACATATTTCCTTTTATTATATTTAAAACTGCGATGTTTTCGTCGACATCGAAAGCCTTTGAATGATGTATCGAAATATCAATTGATTGTTAGTGTTAATGAGCGCGTTAACTACCAAAGCCTTTGGTCCCATAAGTGTAGTGCGTATGTCGAGATCAGGTGACAACCTACCATCGACTAGCAGGGTTTTTCCTGACCAGATATCTCCCACCAGCGGGGCACCGCCCCAGCTGGGACAAGCACTACGCTCCCGACCAGTTTCGCGGCAACTGTCTAGTGTAGTGCGTGTTAGAGTAAGGGGAGAGGAAAGGACAAAGGAAGAGGTAGGAAATATCGCGCGCGGACCGTGGCCCGTTTGTTAGGGTACTGCTCTGGCATTCGCCTGGTGTTAATCGGAGAAACCACGGAGAACTACCGATCCGAGCAACCGGACGCTAGAATTATCTTCCAGAAAGCGGGTGAATTCGACATAACTGAAACTATGGGAAAATCCTGTCATCGTCAGGACTCGAACCCAGGACCTGACCGGTCAGAGGGACTGCAGTGACACCAGGTGATGCCCTGAGACATCTCTCCCGGTCTGAAATATCGATGTATCGGTACAATTTGCCATCACTAATCAGGATAGGGTAGGTCACCCAACTGGTTTTCTGTCTAGAAGTGGTGGAACAACCACTCGGGTGGTCCAACAGCGGCTCTCTTAGCCTGAATGAGTAAGGTTACAGATGGAATGCAGGGGAGCATTTTACCAGACGCGCACGGCTGCCATTCGGACCCCAGCCATAAATACCAGTTTCTTCTGGTTTATTGCCGCGAAACCGGAGAAGGCTGTAATGAATAAGTATTTAAGCAAAAGAGTCACTGGCGATCGGTCCTCGCAAAACTTTGCAATAGGTACTGGCACCGAGCCAACTATGACAGTTACCTGTACCAGTGGGTGATGGTGAACCTCGCGGATAATTGAGAGTGTACGCGCAGCGCTATACCACATATGGCTATCAAAGAGGCAGCAGCTTCGTCTACTTGTGGCTGATGTCTTGTGGGCCCCGCCACCAGGGTCCTCCGCCACATTAAGACAAACTAGCCAACGCATGAGGTGGACGAAAGAGAATATCTCCATAATGCGTACATTAACAAAAAAGGGGAAATGGGATATGAAGGATTTAGAATAAGTATGCATGCGGGATGGAAAATAATGTAATTCAGACTGCACATTAAACGAAAAATATTTTTGCAGCCAGTTAAATTCAATTTAAAGGCGACGCGTATTTTCAGATGCCGTATTGATTACAGAGATTCCATTCCATGGCGAGGAACAAACCACAAGAAGAACATGAAAGGGGAAAGGTCGCTGAAAAGAAAATTTTAACGAATATCTAATCAATGAACAACGGGAACGCTACGCATGGAGCTGTAGGAACGAAATATCACATTACGCAACGAAGGTGTCCCATGACAGAAACGACCACATATACCCAAGGGATAAGGAGAGCGAAATACGATTCTTGTCAAGTAATGAATGCCATAGTTGGAAGCACAATGTCACAAATTGTTTCTTTGGATTTTGGACAGAGACTCAGGGAAATCCCAAGCTTTCTTCGCACAACGAAAACTCGGGCCAACTAAGTACATTATTTGTATCACCATTATTTGTGCTGTATCTTCTTCAAAAAATGATATGAAGTAGATTTAAATAATTAAAGAAATTTGAGTTAAATGAATAAATATTTTCTTTATCCTTGAAAGTTTCTAATTCTTTCCTTCATAGTTATATTCACAGGTTTGCTATTCTGTTAGCAGTGAGAAATGTTTAGAAATCTCTTCTGCTGATCGGTAGGCAGTGTGGTGACCAGTGCTGGCTTGAGCTGGCCGACTGAATTCATGT